GCTGGTGGGTTTGAACCGCCAGCCGTCTGGTTAGCAGGCAAGTGTCTTAGCCACTATGCTACCAGAGCTCCCAATATAAACATAGCATAAAGTTTTTGAAAACGGAGAAAAGGAAAACGCCATATCCCCACGCCACGCTAACCCCTGGCCTGTCTTCACCTGCGCTGTCCAATATTGTGGTCACTGGCCGCTGCTGCCACTTTAATTTAGAGTTAATTTAATTTTACATCAAATCAGAAACGCAGTGCCTCGGTCGAGTGCTCACGGGGCCACGGGGCTGCTGTACCAGGCAGCAGAGATTTAGAAGACCTCCTTCTTGGCAGAAAGTTCTATCGGGAGATGCTGCTCTCAGCTGCCCCGTTCAAGCATCTTGTAGGCCTTCTCATACAGTTCACTCACATAGTGAGGAGCCCTGGTGTCGCAACATTTAAGTGTCCGACTGAGAACTGAAAGGTCAGTGGTTCGAACCACCAGTGGCTCACGGGAGAAAAGACCTGGGGATCTCCTCCCGTGAAGATTGACAGCCTTGGAGACCCTGTGGGAAGTTCCACTCTGTCCTCTAGGGGCGCTGTGGGTCAGAATCGACTCCATGGCAGTGGGTGTGGTTTGGGCTTTGTTTCCATAAAGATTGACAGCTTTGGAGACCCTGTGGGCAGGTCCACTCTGAACTCTAGGGGCGCTGTGGGTCAGAATGGACTCCACGGCAGTGGGTGTGGTTTGGGCTTTGCTCTGTGAAGACTGACAGCCTTGGAGACCCTGTGGGCAGTTCCACTTTGTCCTCTAGGGGCGCTGTGGGTCGGAATGGACTCCACGGCAGTGGGTGTGGTTTGGGCTTTGTTTCCATGAAGACTGACAGCTTTGGAGACCCTGTGGAGCAGTTCTATTCCATAACATTGGGGTGCCATGACCTACCTGTCTGGGGAGGGCCGGGTACTGGGATTTTAAAAGGTGTGCAGGGCTCGCGGGTGCAGCCCAGGCTGGAGCCCCTTCCACAGCAGCCATACCGACCTCTGACCCATCTCTGCGGAGGGCCTGCGGGTCCAGGAGGACCTGAGGAGTGCCCTTTGCTTCCAGGGTCTGTAGTCAGGTGGGGAGGCCAGCACCCCGCAGTCCCATGTGAAGAGCAAGGAAGTGAGTGAGGCACTCTGCACGGGCTCATGCCCAAGGGCAGCGGCGTCACTAGGAGGGTGCAGATCGCACCAGGTGACACCAAGATGACAAGATTTTTTGCAGTATTTTGGCAGAAATTTATTATTTGTTATAAAAATATCCCTGTAGTCAGTTATAACAACAAAAATATGTTTCACAAGCCCCATTAAGGCACTCTGGTGGTGTAGTGCCTAAGACATTTGACTACTAACCAGAAGGTTGGCGGTTCAAACCCACCAGCCACTCCTCAGAAGGAAGACTGGGCAATCTACCGCAAAGATTTACTGCCTCAGAAACCCAACGCAGAGTTGCTATGCGTCAGAATTGACTCCAGGGCAGTGGTTTTTTTTTCCCAAGAAGCCCAGCTCCCACGTGTCAATATACCTGCAAGGCTGACACTCTGCTCACTCACCTTCTAATCCTTCTAACGTGCTCCGGTCAGAGCTGTCATTGTTGCCCTTTTTCAGGGACACTTCAAATCTCGTGTTTCCATCAGATCTTGTCAAATTTTCTGGTGTTTTAGCTGTAATATCGTGGTAAGTAGTATTTCTGAACCTGTGTCAATACCTTTTTTGAAAATGAAGTAATAATTAAAGTAAAAGAAGAAAAAAAATAAAAAAGGGCGCTGGTCACTTACTGAAGATGTAACTAATCGTGTCACTCAATGCAGAAAGATTTCACGGAACAATTGTGTGGTTAGGATTCTAAGATATAATCTGAGAAATACCACATAGTACTCTATGATTAAAATTGATCGCAAACACGACTAAGGATTCTGTGTGGTCTGGGTGCGGGAGGAGGTCCGTGGGGGGCAGGGGACTACTGCACTGGGTGACACCCACACCTGGTGTGCTCACGTCCCCACTGCCTGGGAACATGCCGATTCCAGGCCTGCCCAGCCCCCATGGCCGCATGCTCATTTCTTTCCAAGCCTCAGCAGCCTCCGTGCGTGGCTGTGGTCCGGAAGCCACCGTATCCCCATGTGACACCCACCACATCCTGCCTGGGGGAGAGGCCTTTCCAAGTCGGCCCCCAGAACGGGAAGGGTCCCATCTGCTCCATCTTGCTGCAGCATCAGGCTGCTCTTGGCCTCAGCCAGCCCCATGGGCCCTACCGCCATTGCGGGTCATCTCTGAGGTGGGGGCCGTCCTGTGCCCGGCGTGGTGTTCAGGAGCGTCCCTGGCCTCCGCCCGCCCCCCAGTCATGACAGCTAAAGCTGTCTTCTGACATTGCCACTTGTCCCCTGGGAGCAGAACGGACCTAGGTGAGAACCTCTGCTCAGGGGCAGAACTGTGTGAAAGCCCCCCTCCCTGGGCAAGTCTCATGTGTAGCTGGGGGAGGGGACTACCAAAATCCAGCCAAACTCACTGCCGTCGAGTGGGACCCAGCTCATAGCGACCCCTCCTTGGGTTTCCGAGGCAGTATCGCTACAGAAGTAGATTGCCCAACCTTCCTTCCGAGGAGTGGCTGGTGGGTTTGAACCGCCAGCCTTCTGGTTAGCAGTCACGTGCCTTAGGCACTGTGCCACCAGGGCTCCTGAGGACTACCAAGGAAGAAGGAAGAGGGACTCCACAAAATGCATAACCCTCTTCTGCTTTACAGACAAGGAAACTGAGGCCCCAAGTAGATGAATGCCCTTCCCAGGCTCACAGCCACCCGTGGGTTAACAACACAAGCTCTTGGGTGAGGCCGGGCTGCTGTCCAGCGAGGTGGGCTTGAAGCCAACAGCCCGGTGCCGAGTCTGGCTCTGCCCCCAGGCTCTCAGCCACCAGCCACAGCCGCCCACTGGCTCTCTGGGGCGGAGTGCAGGGTACAAAGGGCTCAGAGCCTGCTCTCCACGGGGATCCCGGGGAGGGTGCAGCATGGCTGCCAGGTAGGCACCGCCCCGTGGCACCACCAGGGGGCGTGCTGACAAAGCCGGTGGGCCGGATGCAGGGCAGCTTGGACTTGGAGATTGATTCCGGTCCCAAGCCCTGTCGCCACAGAGTTCAGCCAGCCTCATCGCGGCCTTGGACGCCTCGGTTCTGCCCGACTGCACGCACTCACAGATAACTCAGACAAATGCCGTCAGTTCACCCTTGGGCTTTAATGGACCACATCTCACTGAAGGGACAAGGGCAGGAGAGACTCCACTTGAGATTCCTCCCCGAGGACCCGGTGGAATGTTCTGAGTCCCCGCACCCTGCTCCTTGACTCTGGCCCTGGACCCAGAGCGGCTCAATCCGACAACGACTTCTCTGAGCCTCAGTTTTCCCTTCTCTAATGGGGACATTGGCGTCTGCCACAAGGGACGGTCACCGAGACAGTTAGCACACGGCCCCCCCAGCAGCCCACGTCAGCTGTTACTGTTCTCATTATCTTCACCACTATCTGCATAAAAGCCACTGAGGAAGAACCACCTGGAGTGGCAGGAAGGGCTGGTGGACGTGAGACGGGGCCTGTCGGGTGCCTGCTGCGACTGGCGAGCTTGGCACAGCCCCGTTCTCAGTAGCACTAGGACCAGTGCGACACCATGACAGCCTCCCGCATCAGGCCAGGCGGACACAGGGAGCCGAGCAGGGCAGGGGTCAACCTGCCCCTCCCAGCCCTGCTTGAAGGCCTGTGCCAGCAAGCCGGCCACCAAGTCAGGCATCTGTCCGCAGGGCAGTGTGGCGGCCCCCCAGAGCTGGACAAGTACCGCCAGCACCCTCCTGGACCATGGTCCACCCCCTTAGAGCCCGCAGAGCCGAGGAGCAGTTCCCAGGTTCCAGGGGCTGAGCCGTGAACCTGCCACGGCTGTAGGGGGTTCCACAGGCCCCGGGGGGACCTCAGAGCAGTAAGACTAGCTCTTGGCCACCCCCACAGTCCTCCGGCCACTCCCCAGGACTATGGGACATTTGTGGGGCCAGAGGGAGCTGGGAGGTAACTCCCCCCACACACACATTCCCCCAGTGACAAGAGCATAGCCCTGCCAGGGGCTCAGACTTGGTCACAGGTTGGCGGGACCGGTGTGGATGTGAGGATGGGCGTGACATCACAGGTGTGGGGCCGCCCCGGGGAGACCTGGGGGCTGGCAACACCCAAGGCCACGCCTGTGGGCCCCCCAGGGAGCGCGCCTCCAGGTGTCCAGCCACTCACCTGCCTCCGCTCTCCAGGAACACGGAGCTGCTGCTCTCGGCAAGTGCAGCGCTGATAGGGGAGAGGCAGAAGGGCGAGGAGAAGGCGTCCGAGTCGGAGTCAAAGGAGCTGTCCCTGCTCACGCCGTCGGCGGACAGCTCCAGGGAGCCCTCCTCCTCGCCAGCCTCAGGCCGCGGCTCCCGCCCCTCCTCGGTGCCATCCTGCGAGCTGACCGTGGACAGGATGCCGGAGTCACTGTGGGTGACTGGCTGGGGGAGGGCGGCGTCCACACCCAGGCCCGAGGCCAGCTTCTCTCCACCCTCCAACGAAGCGCTGCCGGCCACCACCAGGATGTCCTCGTCCTTGGGGGTCAGGGACAGTCTGGGCTCCGTGGGAGAGGCCTGGCAGGGGGCCCCCGAGCTCTGAGTGCGTCGGGCCCGTGGGCGGGGGGCCTTGCGCACAGGCGAGCTCTCAGGAGTGATGTAGCGCAACGCCTCCTCATCCTGCCTCTGGATCCGGGAGTTGGGGACCCACGCGAGGATGAGGGTGGCCCCCAGCAGCTCGTCCTTCTCCATGTACAGGCACAGGTACCCTGTGAGAGAGCGGGCGCAGCAGGTCAGGCAGGACAGCACGCTGGCACCTATGTGCACTGGAGGGCCCGCCCCAGCCCCAGCCTGTGTCTAAAGGCAGATCGGGTGGGCTTCCGAATGCCTTCCCCAGGCTCCCACCCAGCAGATCTGGGCCCTGGGTCCCGGGCAACACCCGCATGGGTTTGACCCAGCACCCTTGTCATCAGAGCCCTCCGTCCTGGCTACTATCTGACGGCCAAGCCCTGCCTGCCGTCCAGCGCCCACACCTGAGCCAGCACTGCCAGCAGGGATGAGGGCTGGAGACGCCGCACAGAAGGAAACGGCAAAATGGTGGTGCTGGGCCTTTATCGGCCTCGGCCCTCTTGGGGAACTGTGCTGGTTTCTTTGATTGCAGTTTTTGGAAGATGGGGTCATTTTCAAGGCTGCTTTTGAGCCCAATGTCATACCCTGGGTCACTGATAGAAAGGGGACAGAGGTGTGTCCAAGGCCGGCAGCAAGTCGCGTGGGCTCTCTGAGCTCCGGGATGCTACGTTTTGGGCACTGAGCCATTCCAATACACCCTGACTGGTGGGCCTGTCTCACCAAGTCCCCGGCCCGCCTCATCTCCGCAGGAGCTAGGTGTCCTCAGCCACGTCTCTCAGGGCCTGAGTCTGGAGGCAAACCCAGAGTCTCCTCACTGCCATGCCTGCTTGCAAGGAGGCCAGGAAACCCGAGGAACACAAGTGTGACATGCGTGGTAAGGCCGTGGGGTTTCCACACCCTCGGATCATGCAGCTTGGAGAATAGCCATTTAGCCCCAGAGCACTGCTCTCCTCCGCCCTCCCTCCAGGGGCTCTCTGTGTCCCTCTACTTCCATCTGCAACATGAACCCACCACAAACGTCTCACAGGCGGCTGCCTCCCAGACCACTGTCACTGGGCACTCACTCTCTGTCCCTCCACTTTCATCTACCACACGAACCACAAACATCTCACAGGCCACTGCTCTTCTTTTTGTTTTATACTCAGACCAAGTGACACCCTCAGACATGAGCCTGGACTCTCTGGCCCTCCCCAACAGTGCTCCTCCCCAGGAAGTGAGGAATCAAGGGGACAGGCCACCCAGAGCCCACAGCCCCCTTCTAGAGCACGCCACAGGTACCCAGGACCCAGAATCCCTGGCCACACATGCAGAGCCTGCTTCCTGGGCCTGTGTGGGCCTTTGCACCTAAGGGGTTTGTGGTGCTGCCGTCTCAGGAAAAGCTCCCCACCCCGGGACTAAGCAGAGTCACTGTGTGTGGGTGTCCAGGAACAGCCCAGGAAACACTGAACGCCAGGGGCCCATGGAGGGGGCCCTCGTCTGTCTCCTTCCCTGCAGACCACTGGGAGCTCCCCTTCCTCATTCAGAGTGGCAGAGTGAAAGGATGGAGGTGGGTGGCTTGGACAATTTCACTGGGAATTCTGTCCATTCCTCCAGATGCCAGCCCTCTGGCTGAAGGGGAAGGGCAGGCACACAGGCTGGGTGGCGAGTCCAGAACCCAGCAGGAGCACACGCTCCGGTGGGAGAGGGTGAGGCAGGCCTGGCGGAGGAGGGGCTCCCTTCCCAGGCCTGCAGGCAGCAGAGCCCATCTGTGCAGCCAACGTTTTGGTGCTGTGCCTTCTTTGCCCTGCGCCCTTGCACACATACTTCAATGCCCTTTAAGCCCATCCCACATCAGTCAAACAGAGCACCTCAGAGGATTGAGATCAGACCTTCCCAGGCCGCCCTCCCTCCCGACCCCACTCACCTGGGTGGTGCTCGCCCGGCCCCTGCAGCCCCTCGGGCGGGTGCACGCAGACATTGTTCTTGGAGTAGATGATGTCGCCGTCCAGGACAGAGGGGGTTCCGCGAGTCAGGAGGTCTGAGGCTTTGGAGGAGGCCCGGCGGAAGAGGCGGCCCAGAGACATCGCCGGGGGGCGTTCCCATCCTCCGCACCCGTGGGCCCGGGTGGGGCACGTCAAGACCTGCTGGGGAACAGAGGCGATGCGTTGAGATCCGAGACCACGGGCTTAAGGTGGATGTGCCCAGGGCTCATCCCTCAGCAGGACATGAGCAGGCACATGTAGAGCGCGGATAAGCAGGGGAGGGGCTGCACAGAGGGCCAGCAGTGCTGTCAGCGTCATACTCAGAGAGCGGGGCCAGGTGTTCCGTGTGTGTGTGTGTGTGTGTGTGTGTAGGCAGGGCCTGGTCCTGGGCCCTGGAGGAAGCTCAGCTGCAACCCGGGACTCGGCTCACAGATGCCAGTTGCACCTCCACCCTCCTTGTGACAACCAAAAATGCTTCCAGATATTGCCAGACGGCCCCTGGGATGCAAAGTCGCCCCTACTGGGAACTGCTGGGCTAGAGGGCTCCTGTTGCCACCATTGTGCCATGGGGTCACTGTGACTCACGTCACCCTTGTGAATAACTGACCGAAGCATCGCCTGGTCCTGCATCACCATGCTGTTGTTAGGTGTCATCGGGTCGGCTCCAACTCGTAGCAGCCCGTGAACAACAGGACGAAACGCTGCATGGTCCTACGCCAGCCTCGCAATCCTCGCTATACCTAAGCTCATCGTCACAGCCACTGTGTCAATGAGGGGCTTGGGCACAGCAAGGCTTGTCCTGCAGCACCACAGCAGCCCCCTAAAAACCTCCAGGCTTGCTCTCAGCTCAGTCTTCAGCACTGTGTCCACTCAAATGAGCCTTTCCTTCCAGAACTTCTCACCTCCCCTGCTGTGTTTGCTGGGGAAGGTTCTAGCTCTCCTGCCCATCCTTCCCAATCCCAACCTCCATGTCCCACCATGTGTTCTTGCTCTTGGCTTCCCAGTGCCCAGCCCTGGTGTCTCAAGACACTGATGGCTTGTCTAAGCTGGGAAGCATGGCATAGACATTTGAAGGACCCATGTTCACCTGCAGTTCTTTAAAAAAGTCAGTTAGCAGCTGAGGAGTCAGCTGCATGGAGGGAAGGACCCAGGAAAGAGGTAACTACTGGGAGGAAGTGGGAGGGGAGCTGTAGCATTGGGGTAAATTGCAGTCAATGTCATGAGACAAAGTGTATGTGAACTGCTGTATGGAAAGTGAATTTTCTCTGTAAACTTTCACCCAAATCACACACAAAAAAAGAAAAAGTCAGTTAGAAGCAAAAGGATTAGTACACAGAACACATAAAGAACTCCCACAATCACCTGCAGAAAGAGGCAATGTCCCCACAGACGCGTGGGCAATTCACAGAAGAAAACCAAAGAGCTAGTAAAGATGCCAGGAATCAATTGTTAAACGGAAAACCAATCTGCTTGGTAAACTTTCACCAAAATCACAGTTAAAAAAAGAACAAGGAAACTCCTTTAACTAATCCTGGTGTGAAAACAAATAAACAAAAATGTGCACATTGAAAAAGGATGCCAGCCTCACTAGCAATCTGGGAAATGAGAACTCAACACCCAGTAAGTTGGCCACAAACAAGAAAATGTTTAATTCTAAAAATACCACAGGTCAGAGAGGATGTAGGGAAAGAGGAACTCTCCCAGGCACTGCCTCCACCACGAGGAAGAGTGATTCAGCTGCATCTGGGCCGCTGAGATGCTCAAGCAGAAAGCCCACTTCCCGAAACACCCTAGAGTGTGGTGCTGTTGGCACAGCGGGTCATGGCCCTACAGCGGGCCATGAGGTCAGCCTGGTGGGTCAAGACAGCTGCTATGGACTGCAGGTTGTGGCCCTGTAGTAGGCCATGAGGTCAACACGGAAGGTCAAGACCAGCTGGTATAATTAAATAGTGCCCCCGAAAGTGACATGGCAGTCCTAACCCTGGGCCTGGTAAATGTGACTGGAAAGAGAGGCTTTCTGTCGCTATGTTGCATCCTTGGGGTACAAACGGTTAAGCTACTGGCTGAAAGGCTGGCGATTTGAACTCACTCCGAGGCACCTTGGAAGAAAGGTGTGGTGATCTGCTTCCAGAAGTCACAGCCACACACACCCTGTGGGCCACAGTTCCACTCGGCGCACCCTGTGGGCCACGGTTCCATGTGGGGCCACGGTTCCACTTGGCACACCCTGTGGGCCACGGTTCCACTCGGCACACCCTGTGGGCCACGTTCCACTCGGCACACGTGGGGCCGTCGTGGGTCAGCCCACTCCATGGCATTGGCTGTTCTTCCAGGAGTTGCCAGGTCAGTGTGGCAGGAAAAGAGGGGCTAGCGCACCCCTCGACAAGGGTGGAAGGCACCCCAGGCCTCACAACATGTACTCAGTTAAGGCATCGCCACCCACTTTGTGCTGTCTAACCATGGCTTTTGGATGAACTTATTGCTGAGTGAAGTCAGTCACAAAAGGACAGGTATCTTATGAGACCACCATTGTGAAAAGTCCAGAAAAGGTTTTCACAAAGAAAGAAGGATTCCTGGAGGGTCACGAGGGTGGCTGGGGATGGGAGGGTAAGCCACTAACTAGAGGGCAGAGGCATGTTAACCTGGGTGAAGAGAAAGGTAAATAAATAAAATTTAGAAACAGCCTCAAGGTCAATTAGAAAGGCGCACGTGGGAATGTGTGCCCTCTCCCAGAACAGGGTCACACGCTAGAAAATCCTGCGACACATCTGTCCTCTTAAATGCTGTGGTCGCCATGTTAAAAAAAAAAGAAAGAAGTGAAATTAACTTTAATAACACATTTTATTGACCCCCAATATGTCCAAAATGTTACCATTTCAGCATGTAATCACTATGAAAAATCAGAAATGTGTTATTTTTCATTCTTTGTGTCTTCAGAGTCCAGTGTGTGCTTCACACCTTCAGCTCCTTGGACTGGTCACCTCTCAGAGTGCAGCAGCCACATGTGGCCCGTGGCCTCCACAGTGGGTAAGGCACCAGCAGCTGTAGCCCACCTCCCTCTGAGCTACCAATGGCATGATGTTTTGTAACTGTCCTCATAGCCAGCCACGGCTGCAAACGACCCCGCTGTTCCCCAAAATCAAAGCCACCTTTAAGTGAAGATGTTTTGCCAGCAATGAAGATAGTGAAAAAAATGTGTAGGAAGTTTTGAAGGGAACTGTAGGACAGACGTGTGAAAAGTATTCCCCTGTGTGGTCAGAATCATCCTAGAAAGACCTTTGCTCAGAGCCCCTGAAGTCGGTCAGTCCATGGATGGAAAGTGAGACCTCTGACCGCCCTGGGGAAGTTCTGGCTCCACCCAGGCCCCGGAGTGGACAGGACACGCTGTCCCCTGTGCTTGTCCGAGGAAGACAACAATGCCTCTGACAGGCAGGGCACATTGTTCCACGCTGTTGTTGTTGTTTGCCTTGATTTGGTTCCCACTCATGACAACCCGTGTGCAGAGTAGAGCTGTGCTCTGTGGGTGCGGTGCAGGGAATGCCTTGGTGTGGCTTTGCTAGCCACAGTCTCTGTGACTCCCACCGGGTCACTGCATGGGACCATGCAAATGAGGTGTGTACAACTCTGATGTTGGGATTGGTTAGTTTTGTCACTCTGCCAGGCTCAAAATGAGCCCTCCTAGAGGCAGAGAGGGGACTCTCACTGCCATCAAGAGAGAAGAGCTGGAGGTGAAGTGGGGCGTGTCTTTGGACCCGAGATCCCTGCGCTGGACCTCCTTGGCAGAGACACCCAGCAGAGAGAGACACGTGGCAGAGAGAGACACTCCAACAGAGTGGAACCAAGATGCATCAGACAGAGAACCTGGCTCGCCTGGCTCACAGAGCGAGGAAGCTGAGTGCCCTTGGGCAGGAGGCTTGCTGGCGGTGTGGGGTGCGTGTAGGTGTCCCTATTGGCAGAGCTAAAAGAGCTTTGTAACACTTGCCCAAAGGGCAGAAGCCAGGCTGAGAGGCCAAGGGGCAGAGAGGCGAGCCGAGGGCACAGCAGAGGGCAGACTGTCCTGATTGAAGAACTGTGTCCTGAGCGTGTTCCTGAACCTGACTTGTAGCCTGTTGCTTCCCTAGTAAACCCCATAATCGTGAGTATTGTCTGTGGCCATTGCAACGAATTATCAAACCCGGCAGAGCAGGAGTGAGTGCCATGGGAGGGAGGGCTGGTGTCAGAGCTGGTAAAAGGCTGGAGGGTGGCGGCACGTCTGGCCTCCCAGGCCTTGGGCTGCTGATGGTGACTCTGCCTTCCTCTGGGGAAGTTAGAGGAGGTCAGAAGATGCCGCCCCCGTGCCCTTCTTGCAGCGGAGTTTTGAAGGCTGTGACTTTGCAGAAGCAGACAGCCAGGCCTGTCTTCCCAGGCACCTCTGGGAGGACATGAACTCCCAACCTTGCAGTTAGCAGCTGAGGACGTTAATAAGCCGACAGTGGAGACAGCAGAGTCAAAGCCGCCACACTGTTCCTCCAAAGTGGGAAGGAAAACAAAGCAGCTGGAACGTGGAGCAGAACCAGCAGACGGCAGATTCCAGTCCAGCCATCTCAGTACCACATTAAACGTGAGCAGTCTGACATCAGCAGTGCAAAGACAGAGACTGACAAATTGTATTTTAAAAAGACCCAACTCTGGGCTGTC